CGCAAACTTCCACTAGAGGATTTCCGCAGATAGTCTAGTCCTGACAAGGTCATGCGGAGATACTACCCCTACAGAACTACGCCTCAGAACCGAAGTACATCGCTTTCGCCATCAATCTGTTCAGATCAGTGGTTACAAGAAACTGAAATCAATTCGCATGGGCACAGTTGTGTGCATTCTGCAAGAGAGGTCAACATATGTTCATTCCTACAAATTTCACGAAGGCCCCACTTTGTTCAACATGCTGCGATGACAATGATAGGGAAGCCTTAACCATGTCAGCCATCATGAACCGGTTCCCTGAGCACCCCTTCCACATCCGAGCCTCTTCTCGCAGAGCCGGCTTTCCCCTGCGCACCAAGCTTTTCCAAACCACCAGCACAGCGCTTTCTTTTTTCCTTTGGCTGGCGCCGCAAGCCATTTTCATCCTGCAGCCCCAAGCCTCGGAAATTCTGAAGCTCGCCTACGCGACGTACTGGAGGTTTACCAACGTAAATCCCACCACTCCTCTTTGTCACCCTCCACCTCGTCGTCCTCCTCTGCCTATGTTCAACAAACTACTTTGATATTATGATCGGCACCAAGCAGTGCAAATTGTGGGAACATGGGGTGAGTAGTGGAGCACAACAGAGAGTATAAAAGGCCACCAATATCACCATCACCAGAACTATAGGAAATCAGTCTGCTTTTCCTTACTAGCTCTTTCCTTCCCTCTCCCTGACCACCTGGAGATGCAACATTCATTGCCAGGGAAACAAATGGATCATCATCACCAGCACCACCACTCGCTTATGACAACTTGTCCTTGACATCCACGTTAATGAATCCCTTGGCCCCCAACCGAACGAGATCCATACCAGCCATCAGAATGGACTCTGCTAGAGAGGCAGTCCTAGGAAAAAGATTTGGGAAAAGACATAATCAGCATGTCTTCGATCCTTGACAGCTTAACAAAGATGCACTCTATTCTGGGCTCCAACACAAAGCCAAGCAAGTTTCTGAGTTCAAGGCAAAAAAACACAAAAGCCACACATAGAGAGATGAGGTAAAGCAAGTACACAAGGATAAATGTCAGCAGCCACCAACAGCATCAAGATACCTTCAGGGTCACGAGCGGTTGCCTTACCTTGCATATCTATGAGAGCTAGAGCAGTTCTAAATAGCATGCTTCGATTCCCTTCATACAAAAGTGCATCCCAAACTCGCAGAACTGCAAGAGAAGCCAAAACTGAATGTCAATATTGTACATCACGTGAACTGCAGAGGATCCAGAAATTATTCACGCAAGCGGCAAGTCACCCACCCGCTGCATGAGTAGAGAATGTCGACAGTGATCATTAAACCCTCTGCTTCGTTCAAAATCTAGAGACTCAAATGGTCGCCAACAATTACCTACCTGGGAAATTTGCCCTCTAAGTTTGCAGGAAGTTCGCGCCCAAGCTTGATAACCAGAGACACAGTGTTTCACCTTCAAGGATGACGTTTTTCCAAGAACCAACTTTCCAAGAAGTCAAACTGTCCCCGATAAACTTCCCATAGTCAAAATTGAAAGACTGGGGGGAGAAGGTAACACAGCAGTAACAGCACCCATCAGTCCTCTTCAAAATTGAGCAATACAACGCAAGCAGGCACAGAAAATCATTTGAATTGCTTTCACTTTGACAAAAGGAACGAAAAGAACCACAGAAACCATATCCAATTGTCCTTTCCACTGAAAGAATGTTTCGAAAGGTACGGAGTGCCAGAAGTCGTTACACAACCCACCTGATTCCCATGGCAATACATTGACAAATACCGAAAGGAACCAAGGCCCGCTTATCCAAGCCACCTGCACTCCTAGTGAATCAAGATGAGAAACTGCACATTTGGCACCAAAACCCACAAAACCGTAAACGAAATCTCTTAAGTATACACACAGTGTCACAGACCCATATTTGCAAAACTGTAAATGATACATATTTGACCATGTCAACGAGTACTACACACATCTACAGTGAGCGTAAACTCTAAGGAATAACGTGGTTAACAGGGACCCCCACTTTTTAGCCCATAGATTACTCCCCCAAGCACTGAAAACAGCATTGAGAATTTTTTTTTTTTTCAGGTCTTTTTTTCGCCCTGTTTTCTTTTCAGTCAAGATTTCCACGTGTCAAGTTTGGTGTTTGTTGGAGCCTTGGAGATGATTGTTTTGGCTGGACCTCCCCCTGCCAATCACCAGGTAAGCGTCCGCCAACCTTCCACACGGCCTTCCTCACCGCCAGAGGACAACCCCTGCTCCAAGCAACCCCTACTGTACAAGGCACCCTTGTCAGCTTGGCACCTGCCTTCTTCACAAGCACCCACTGCTATGGCCCTGTGCCTGAAAGGTGTCTCTACTTCATACAGCCAAGTGTTGACTTGATGATGCTGCACCATAACGATTACCTTCATCCAATTTTTTTTTCAACTGTGCCGTCCTCTCGACTTATATACAGAGGCGCGGACCCTTTTTCAGTAAGGAGGTCCTGCCGACCAAAAAGTTCCAAAGTCGAATCTACCAGGCCAAATCTGAATGGTTCGTCAACTGGGCCTCCTGGGCCTTGTTCCCTCAAACCCAGGACACAGGGCCTAACAGCCCTATACTACCTGCTGCAACCTCCAGGGGGCTCGCATAAGTGATTTAGAGGGGCAACTTTTGACTGGAGCACTACCCCAACATCATATTCTTCCGATGTAAATACACAAAAACGTGTCTTTAACTTTTTTTCTTCCTTTTTCCTTTTTTCCTTTGCTTCTGTTTTTCTTGTACTTTCTTGTACACGAGGTCCTGATTCCTCTTCTCCACACTATGTCACCTGGGTCCCTTGGCTGGGCATGCCAGGCCAGACAGCTGTGGACCTGGACAGGCCAAAAGAAGGGGAAGAAATTGAAAGAAAAACTCTCTTCAGGCCAGATCTGTGGCCATGACCATTCAGAATCTGGCTTTATCTTTGAATGCCATCATGCTTCACCTACATGGCGCTTGGGGATGGTTTGAAATAGGTTAAAAAAAAAGGGGATAGGGCCTTTAGTCTTTAGGCTCTTTAGAAGGGTGTACCTTAATTTAATTTCTCCTTCGCTTTCTTTTTTTTTCCCAACCAACAGTGCAAGGCTTGCCGATGCATCTGGAAGCTTTGGATGAGCAATGCACTGTGCACCTCAATAGCTGGCGGCACCAGGCAAAAAGGAAAGAACAACGACTCACCAAATTGTGTTTTTTTGGTGTGCAGGGGAAACTCACCTCGCAGAAAAGACGCTTGGAGGTACTGGTGGTTTGAAAACAAATTTCTCTTAATTGCTGGAAAATGTGTCCAGGGTCCCTTGTAAATTTTACTCGCCAACAATTCCCAGCATGAGGGACCCTAAGTCGGAGGCATTGGCTGCTTCCTGAGACACAAGGACTATCTGTCCTCCATCCCTGTTCCTCGTGTTCTGCTAACTGTCCTTAGGACACACATTCCAAGAGCCCCTGTGGGTTGCTCCTCAGCCCGGTCTGGCTGCCTGATTGTTATGTTCTCCTCTCTCTCTCTCTCTCTCTCTCTCTCTCT